TATATATATAATTTTTTGTGGTACTGGGGATTGTACATGTCTTTCTTTCCTCCCTGGGCTTCTGCAACTTCATGCTGTTTTCATGTCTCTCCAGCTCTCAGTCTCTCTCAGAACATCTTCTTTATCTGCCTCAAAGATGCTGCTGTGATGTTGTTATTCTGTTTGGGGAATTTCACTGATCTCATAATTTCAGCGACCGCTAATTACCTGGGCTCTCGAGTTTTTTAGCCCACCTGACCTTCCAGAACTTTAAGTCTATAAATCAAGCTGTAAACTGCCCACTGGTCATCTCTGTGTTTTCCCCATGGTGGTGTTTACTGCTATGTGTCAACTTGTCTAGCCTGTGGGGATGAGTTTGGGAGTCAAATACTAGTGTACATGCTGCCACAAGTGTGGTTTGGATTGATATGGTAGGGCCTGAACCCAGGGCCCCAGGTGAGCAACACACAGGTTCTGCTGCTGAGATAATAGCCTTTCTGCCCCTAGAGGTATTTTCTTAGATATGACTCACATTTATGATTATTTGACTGAAAGCAGATTCTCCCCCGCAGGGTTGGTGGGCCTCATCTAATCTTCTGATGGCCTTAAAAACAAAAGCTGAGGTTTTCTACAGGAGGAATTCTGTCTCCAAGGAGAATTTTCCCAGATTTTCCAGCCCTCAAACTCCAGGCTGTCACATTAACTCTTACCTGGATCTTCAGTCTGCTGGCTTGTTCTGCGGACTTTGGGTTTGTTGACTCTCAAAAGTGCATGACCTAATTTTTTAAAATGTGTCTTTCTCTGACTAAATAGACATATAGATAATTTATATGTTTGCTATATATATTATATATACATTTTATATAAGCTTTATATAAAAATATTTTTATTTGACATTTTAATTTTTATTAGCACATTTGCAGTACTTATAGATTACATTCACTGTGGTGATGTGTACATAACACATTTTACTTTTTATTTCCCCTTCCCATTCCACCCGCTGCCTCTTACTCTTCCCTGTGCAAGAGCTAGCTCTCTGTTTCCTATTAGGAATCTTTTATTTTATCCTTTATGCTTTGAGTTTCTCTTGCAAGAGAAATCATGCGATATTTAAGCTCGTGTGTTTGACTTGTTTCTTTCAGCATAGGGTCTCCTGGTTCATCTGTTTTCCTACAAACAGCTCAGATGTGTCCCTCCTTATGGCACAGTAGTGCCTCAGTGTGTGTAAATGCCATGCTTTGTTTATTCTTTCATCTGTTGATGGACATACAGGCTGCACTCCAGACGTAGCCATAAACACAGGAATGCATGGATTACTGTGATGTGATATCCTTAGCTTTTAGGAAGATACCTAGAAGGGAAAGAGCTGGGTTGAAGGGATTTCTATTTTTAGATTTTGAAGAATTGCCACACTGATTTCCGTAGTGGTTGTACTGGTTTACATTCCCATCAACAATGTAGAAGTTTTCTTTCCCTCCCACAGCCCTGGCAGCATTTGTTCTTATTTGATTTCCTGATGATAGCCTTTCTTTCTGGATCAAGATGGAATCTAGTGTTATTTTAATTTGCAGATCTCCAATATTTGTTTCCAGAGAAATGTAATTTTAAATAACAAAATATTTGTGCCTGTGTGGTACTGGGGATCGAACCCAGGGCCTTGCACTTGTTGAGCAAGTGTCCTACCACTGAGCTATGGTCCCTCCAAATGTCCAAAAGGGATATTTTATCCTATTGGCTTCTCTAAGGTGCCCATCTTGTACCGTTCTTGTCCAGAGCCCTTAGCAGCTTCAAGCCTCGTTCTGAGACAGCCCTCACTGATGGCCTCACCGCCGTTCTTACCCCTCCTGCAGTCCTCCTTTCTTGCAGACTGCTTACTCATTCCCAGAGCTTGCCCTTCTGTGCCTTGTTCCCCAGCACTGTCTGCCCACCATCTAAATGACTCCTGTATCTAGATGGTCTGGCTAATATCATTAGCAAGCACGCTGCAGGAGCCTCCTGAATATCTTCAAAAGCATCATCTTTGAACTGGCCCCTCTGGTAATAACGCTGGTGCTTTAATCCCAAGGCACCTGCCTCTGCTGTTAGGACCAGAAATGCTCTAGTTTATTTTATTATTATTTTTTATGTATTTGGTACAGAGTCTCACTACACAGCTCTAACTCCTAGTGATCCTCCTGTTTTCAGCCTCCCCAGCAGTGGGAGTACAGGTGTGCACTATCATACCTGGTCTCAGTGGCTGGCTCAGCGCACCTGGGGCAGGGCCAGTGCAGCATGTGGTGCTAGGATCAAACCCCAGTCCCCGCACTTGCCTAAGCAGGTGCTTAGTCTGCTGAGCCATCTCACTGGCCCATGAAATGCCCTTGATTGCTGCAGCTCCTGGCACATAAAAATCATCATGTATCCTCAATAATTGTTCTTTTGACCTTTTCAAGGCCCACCAGGAATCATGTGCCTGCCCAGAT